GGTGGCTTAGGAGGGCATACCTTGTATATCTTCCCATCCTTCAAATGATACCGGATACCAGACCAATTGATGGACTGAGAAAAATGGGAACGCATCGCAGACAATGGGTATAAGAAATTGTCAACGAGCATTGCAATGAATACCTGCTCGATAAAACATCATTTAATAAAACATTAATGACTTATTGTGATCAAAAGCTACAAAACAGGACCATACAGTGAATTCATACTCAAAATATAATAACAGAAAAAAATGGTTTATAAATACCCTCCGTCCAAAAAAATACACGATGTTAATTCTATTAACAAAAATACCCTCGCGACTAACGGCAGAATTGGTGAGCCTTTCATTTAATGACGTGGCGATTTTTAACTGGGTCACGTGGCAGTCTTTGACTGGAACAAAAAATGGATATTATTTCAACCCATTTTCAAAAAATGGAAATGTTAGACCCTCCATGGGTTGAAATAATATCCATTTTTTGTTCCAGTCAAAGATTGCCACGTGGCCCAGTTAAAAATCGTCACGTCATTAAATGAAAGACTCACCAATTCTGCCATTAGTCGCGGGGGTATTTTTGTTAATAGAATTAACGTCGTGTATTTTTTTGGACGGATAGATGGACGGAGGGTATTTATAAACCATTTAGCAAACGATAAGGGTAGTTTTGGCCCTTTTCCGTTCTTTTTATAGGTAAAAATAAAACCACCTTTGACCATGTTTGACTATATGAACCCTCTGTTTTCAATATATAAAGAACAAATAAATTTCTTAGTTAAAACATTTTAACCTCTCAAGGTGTCTAATTCATGTGCAAATGCATCCACTTTTCAAACTTATAATTGTTTGCAAGAATAAGTTCAGTAAAATCTTGTAGTCCACAAAGATCAAACCATAAAAAAGGGGGGACAAAAAGGAAATGAACTGTTCAGCCTGTGTTGCAAATCTGAATGGACTTACAAGGCACCAGTTATAAGAAGCAAGTGATAGTTGAGGTGCCTCGGGAGACAACATATTGCACAAGTGAACTTCAATTCTTGTCAAGTTCCACATGGAAAGAAGTTCAATCAGTGTGCAGATGGCAAGGCATCCAGCAAGTAACAACCCTGACAAAGTACCAAAAAATCATATCCAGCTTAAAAGAGGATGAAATATGCAAAGTTCCCAAAAATTACTGTAGCATAAAGAGATTTTTCAAGAACAATTAAGAGCCATTTAACATTTCAAGAAGCACCACCCAACCCAAAAAAGATCTTGCAATTCCCAACTACCTGGAATTGCACACTGGTATATACGCATAGCCGCTACCTAGGTTCAGAATCAATATCATCATTACGATAATCTAACGATGCACATGACAAAGTTTCCAGCACAAAGTATTCTACTTCTACTCACACAACAGTAGTGTGCTCACCATTACATTTCAAGACTGTATCATCAGGAGAGTATCCTTTAAAGTAAAATCTCAGTGCTGCTGCCACATGAATCCCAGCCATGACGTATGGAGTTACAAAACCCCAAGACAGATAGCAGTGGGTTGTAAATAAAGCCCGATTCATGATCCAGTTAACTTTTGTTGTATATGACTCCAGTACAAATGTTTGCTTTCTCAAATAATTCCAGTATCTACACAATACCACAAGAAACTATAAGGCGAGCCTACAACAAGCAGTTATCATAATTTATCTCAATATCTCAACAAAGAATTTGATATATTTTTCACAAACCTAGGGAAGGTAAGATCGCTTGCAAGAGGATGTGGAAAGACTGCAACTGGTGGTGATGTAATGAGCCTCTTGTGTTCCTCTAGAAAAAATAGCAAAATAAATAAATAAGATTAAGAACCTAAAACGTCCACGCCAGAACCAAGATTTTGCAGAGAAGAAAGTTAGTAAAGTGGAACTACTCACAATTAATTCCCAGAACATCCTAAAGCTAAATAAGAAGTACCAAAACTCAGTAAGTGGCAATGGTCGTTAAGAGGTTCACTATTCAATATCTCCAAGAGGGTTATATAATCACCCAAAATACTATACCGAAACAATTACTGCAACAAAAAATGCAAACACCTACTTAAATTATGCATGTGCCGAGAAATTTCCTCCATTGTCAAGTATATTACTACAATACTACATAAAGAGGACTAGAGGAGAATACAAAAGTTCAGAGAACAGTAGATCTTTGCATATTTATGGGTAAGAGATGCATAGTCAGGAGAATTCGTAAAAAGCAGATAGTTGCAGAATAACACAAAAACTAGAAACTCTGTATCCTTGGAATTTGGCTCTCCCAACTATGGTCTACGAGGGGAATATGCACCAGCTGCATTCCCGCTCTTGTGCAGTAA